TTCACTACACTGTGAGCTCCACAGGAGCACGATGTAGGACTTAAATGTCTCACCACCCCACAAGGATCCCTGCCACAGGGATCAACCAGTATCAGGCAAACAAATGAAGAAAAGGGAAGGGAAATTCTACCCATGGGGAATGGAGGGTCTGTTACTTGGTACTTGCTCCACTTTGGGGTTTCTATCCTCTAAAGCAGTGATGGCCAACCTTTTAGATACATGTGTGGTAGGTTCGCCACCACTGCTCTAGAGTCTCTGCTCAGGGTAGGTCAGACTTGATAAAGGGCCTCAATGAAGGATGACAGGGAGGTTGGACTAGCAAGCACCTGCTGCTCTTCCAGAAAAGTTTCTAATGCCTCATACCTTGGCATCTCCAGGGTTAGGGCATCGTGTTTGTTTCAGTTTTTTTTGGGGGGGTACCGGGGATCAGATCGAACTCAGGTCCTTGTGCTTATGAGGTAGACAGTGGAACCACTGAGCTAAATCCCCAGCCCTCATGTTTGTTTTGTTTAACTCACAAATATCCAGACTGTGATTCAGAAGTAACAGTCACACCAACCAACAACTCCCTTAGCATCCAGGGCATTTTGTTTGTTTTTGAGTCAGGGTATGCTATGTAGTTCAGGCTGACGCTCAACTCCCAGCAATCCTCCTGCTTCAGACTCCTACATACTTGGATTACACGTAGGTGACAAAACGCCCAGCATATCCTCAGCATTTTGTACTGCCCTTTCCACCTTCCCTAGCCACAATAGCTCGGTAGTCTTTGAGGTCCTGTGCCACTGGCCAGACATACCACCACACACCAAATTCAAATTTCAAAAGTAGAGGGATTGAATAAGGACAAGCCAAGCATGGTGCTGTATGCTTGTAATCCCAGGACTCTGAAAGGCTGAGGGAAGAGGATCACAAGTTTAAACCCTGCCAGATAAACTTAGCAACTCAGTGAGTTCTGCATCAATATTATAACTAAAATTAAAAGGGCTGCAGATATATCTCAGTACACAGGTCCAGGATTCCAATCTTAGTACTGCAAACAAATTAAAAGAAACAAAAGAACAACAACAACAAAAAGATGGGCCTAGACAGCTAAATCATCAAAGATAAGGAAAAATAAAGCGGGGCCTCATGGCACATAATCCCAGCACTCAGGAGTCTGAGGCAGGAGGATCACTGTGAGTTCGAGACCAGCCTGGGCTACATAGTGAGTTCCAGGTCAGTCTCAACTACATAGGGAGACCCTGTCTTAAAAAACCAAAAACAAAAAAGGAAAAATAGATGCTCAAAAAAATGCTTGCTGGCTCTATCCTGTGACTGCTCGGCAGTGTGTGGATGCACTCCTACATTTGAGCACCACCTACCAGAAGAAACACAACGGACTCCCATGCTAAGAGGCATCTTCTTCCCCACCCTCAAAGGCAAAGTAAGCCGCCCTGTCCCTTGTACCTGTCAATGAGGGAATCCCGCATGCTGGTGGCAATGGTGCTAGGCTGGGCCTCATTCAGCTTGAAGACGCTCTCCACCACCGACAGCTCCGTGCTGGTTGTGTCCAGCCCGCAGAAGGCACACCAGTCATTCACCACCATCCCAGCAGCAATCACCTCACTGCCTCGGTTCACAGTGCCCGCCTGCCAAGACCAGGCTCAGTGTGGGGCACGGCACCAGCAGCGCAAGTCTGCCACCGCCCCAGTGAGGACTCTTCCCAAACCTGCTCCCTGAACCTCAGCCCTGATCCCAAACTAGGGCAGGTGAGTCCAGAGTCCTGGGCAAAGGGATCTGCTTCAGCAGGAGATGGGACAGGACGCAGGGAGTCTTACCACAAGGGGCACCTGGAGAAGAGAGGACAGCTCATCCTGATCCTCAATTGAAGTCTTGGGATGCACCAGCCCTCCCTGATTGCTGAAGACACAGTAACTTCCCACTAGCACCTGTTCAGCCACTGTCTGTCTGAAGACTTCCACCTTGAGCACATCAGCCAGGATTTCTTCTGTCTCCTGTCCATCAAAAATGCTGTCGCTCAGGATGGGTAAGCCAGAGAAACAGGGGCTCTCCGTGCCAGAACTCAGAGCCCTCATTTCTCTGCTACACAGCTATACATGGAAGCCTCACTCAGGGAAAGGACAAGGTAGAGCTTAGCATAGAGCTGGGCCAGCTCTGCAACCCCTCAGCCCCAAGCATGCCCTGAACACTGGGGACTGGCCTCCATGTCAACCTTTTCCCTCTAACACATCCTCCAGTTCAACTGTTAGTCATCTGTCCTGGCCCACGCCTGGGACACACTCCCTGAATCTCCCTAATCCTGAAGGATTAATGGTCTCCCAGCTTGACACTGACCATACCACCGAGGCCCCTGTTACCGCTATTCCTACTGACTGCCTGAAATGCAGAGAAACCACAAGAGGTGATGCTAATGTCAGCCTGTGGCGTGAAAAACGATAGCTAATATCCTAGGCTGGTCCTACGGCTCTTGAGACAAGTTGGGCTACCTTACCCTGTCCAGGTCTGGGTGGACCAAAGCCACGTAGTCATTGCAGGTGGTAACATTGCCCAGGGCCGAGAGCCGCTCCTCCACCCGCCGGATCTGCACTGAGTCTGGCAGGCAGTTGCGAATGTGCTGCAGCTCCTGGTCAGTGGTGTTGTTGGGCAGCAGGAGTCCATGCCTGTTCCCTAGAGAGACCCAAATTAGAGGACAAGGCAAACACAGACCATGACTGAGGAGATGCTTCTGGGACTTCAGGGATCAAGATATAGCCCAGCCCAGCCCAGCCCACCCCAGCCCAATTAATTTTCCAGGACAGCTTGAGGCTCAGACTCCAGCTGTCCAGCGCACTGATCCATTCATCTTACAAGAGTACCAGGTCCCATGGGCAGGCCCAAAATGGCCAGGAATCTATCCCAACAGACCTTACTTACTTACTCACCATCAGATGGTAGGAAAAAGACATGGCCCTTGGCACACTGTGGATCTGTGTGTGTGTGTGTGTGTGTGTGTGTGTGTGTGTGTGCGCGCGCGCGCCCTTTGTAGCAGGGATCAAACTCAGGACCTTGCCATTGTGAAGCAGGCACGTGGCACCACTGAGCTAAATCCCTGGCCCCACACTGTGCATTTTGATACCTAAAAACTACATGTACCTAACGCTAAATACCTATAACAGTGGCTAAAAATTTCAACTCAATGTCACTACCAAATGCTGGCAAAAAAACATGTGGAACAAATGAAACTCATACACTGACAGAGGGAAAAGGTCAACCACTTTCAATAATTGTATAGCATTACCCCCAGATAGTCACATAAACTGTGACTCTACCTAACTTCTACACTATAAAATGGAGAATGCCTAATGTAGAATAACTTGTGGGTATTCTACATCCAATAGAAAATATACACATATTACTGCCAGCACACCTGTAGTCCCAGCACTTGGGAGGCTGAGGGAGGAGAATCACCATGAAGTCAAGGCCAGCCTGGGACACACAGTGAGTTCAAGACGAGCCTGAGGGCTGGGATTTAGCTCAGTAGTTTTGCCACCTGCCTCACAAGCACAATCTCCCAAGTTCTGTCCCCAGTACCAAAAAATGAAAAATCAGCCAGAACTGCATAGCAAGACCCTATCACAAAAAAAAAGAGAGAAAAGAGAAAAGAAAGACATATATTCGTATTTATAGAGAGGCACTATTACTAAGAGACCAAATGGCAAACTGCCCAAAAGAATAAATGGAATCCACTCTGAAATATCCCTACAGAAGCTACTCCATGCCAACAAAACGGAACAAAGTTTAATGACACCTTCAGAACTACAGCTAAAATTCTCTGTGTCCTTGTAAGGCCACAACTCTGAACCTCAGAACTAAGAGCTGCTCTCTTATAATACAAGGGCTAAGCTACATTCACCCTCATTCTCTGAGTTTTCTTCAAATCTCACGGGCATGGATAGAGATCAGGGTGTTGTTTTCCTGTTCTTCGATCAAAGTGTTTGAAATGAATTAGAAAACAAGGTCATAATGTTTAAGATTTTTCTTAATTGAAAGTAAGAAAATAAGACTTCTGTGAACCCAATCGGCAAAGTAAGAAACAAGAGGTGGCACTATCAGGACACAGAGCCACCCTAAAGAAAGGAGGAATGGCCACAGCTGACAGCTATGGCAGATCAGAGCAGAAATGCCAGGCATGGAAATGGGAACTGAGGATTTAAATGTACAAGATAACCCAGCCTCTGAGCCTGTATCATTTCACAGAGGCAGAAATGGATGCTCAGAACCAGGAAGAAGCTTGTCTATACAGTCAGTCGGTGGCAGAAAAGAGACAAAATTAAAATCCTTCTCCACAATAGGTGTGGTACTTGGTGAGTCACCTAGACTCCCTAATCTCATTTCCTCATTAGCCAAATTAAGATACTAATTTCTAATTTTAAAAAAAGACACCGATTTGTACTTCTAGAGAACAAGAGCAAAAGTACTTGTTTCTCGGCCAGGGATGTAGCACAGGGGTACAGCACCTACCTGGCAAGCATGAGGCCCTGAGTTCGATTCCCGTTATCAAAAACAAAAATAAAAACAGAGCGACTTGCCTTTTTCACGTTTACAGTCGCCCTAAGGTGCCCAGGTTGGGATCCAACTTGCCATCCATCCCTCTGCCTCAGCATTCTAAGTAGCTAGGATACAGCCGTGCGACAATGCACCTGATTGTGCTATTTCTTTTGACTGTCATTTGTATTTATTATTCTCAAGAACTCTTGTTCCCCTGACTGCTCTCAGACTGGGTCCTACTCAGCCCCGAGAGATTCCACAGTCCACGGAGATAATGAACGAAGGCCTGGAAACTCCTAGGTCACTCCGCGTCCCCTCCAGGGATACGATTAATAATTAATGGTGCTTGGACTCTCCACTCTCCCTAGGCGTCCTCCACATGCCTTACCCACACACATGCGCCCGATGATGCGGCAGCCAGCGATGGACGCGTGCACCACAGGGATGGTATCGGCGAGCTCGCCCTCAAACACGCTGTAGGGACACAGACTCGGAGGTCACCAGCCCGGACACGCTCAGCCGGAGCTCCCGACCTCGACAACCCTCCCGCTCCGCCGCACCTGTAGAAGTTCTCCGACCCTCCGATGGCCACCAGGCAGTAGGTGTTGGTGAGTTTGGCAAAGCAACCGATCTCACAGTTGTTCTCGAAAGACGCTCGCACCGCCATGACCGAAGCCCGGAGGTTCCCCCACCGCGAACGCAGGCAGGGTCGACGGACGGATCGGCTACCAGTCAGTCGCGGGTCCCGGAGCCTCGTCCCCTCAGAAGCGTCGCGACCCCGCCCTCCGAAATAGGTCAGATTTTTTCGGGTACCGCCCACTGGGCCCCTCCCACTCGGACCCGCGTTCTCAGGCCCCTCCCCTGCCCGCCCGGGTCGGAGCTGACCCTCGCGGCCTCCCTTCACACCAGCTCACCTAGCGACACCAAAGTCCACACGCCTCTCTCTACTTCTCCCCCGCACAGCTTTCCGCTTCCGCCTCGGCCCGCAGAGACTTCCGGGAGAGCCCGGCACGCCAGCCACGCCTGCGCCCCTCTAGCCCCACCCCGGGGAGGGACTCTATGGCTGCAAATACTCTGTCCAGCGCCTCGCCTGGCCCCGCTCGCAGCACGCTCGCCCGCCCGCCCTCATTGGTTCGTTCATTCTTTCGCTCTGGAGCTTTTTGGGAGGTTCAGGCGACTGAGACCTGTGGCTGGTCGGTGTGACACGAGGGAGAGGAGGAGCCAGCGCCTTCTCCCCGAAGGTGGGGTGATGAGAGAGGTACTGACTGAAAGGAAGTAGGCGGCTCAAGGGCGGGTTTAGGGGAGGGGATGGGTCCAGCCCTGCCGCGAGCGCCCCAGTCGGGATGTGGAGCCCAGGCCAGAGTGAAAGGCTGAGGAGTGAGACGTGGGGCCAGAGCTGGGGTGGATGGCGTCACCCGGAGAAGGTGTCCGGGAGGGAGAAGTGAGACCAGATCCCAGGCTGCTGGGTGCTCGGCCATCCCAGCGGAGGAATGCAGGCTGATGACCGAGGATGAATATGAACATGAATGTGAATGACTTAGGTTCTTAGGGAGTGGTTGGAGAGGCAGGGGTCCCTGTTGGGCGAGAATGCGAGGGCTGCTTGTTTCCGTTGTGTGCCTCTCACGCATGCTGTGTCACTCACTCAGCAGCCACCTTCTATCCTCCACCTCTGTCCTTGCTCGCCTGGACAGGATGAACTTGGCCTCCATTTGGTAGAATCTACAAATATCACAGTGAAGGCAGAGGGCACTTGGAGCCCCCACTGCCTAAAGCGTTTTGGGTGGCGTCCACTGTCCTCCATGGCTCTCTCCATCCCCTTAATGGTCCTAAATGGCGTTCTTTTTCAACTCCAACTTGCATATCCATAACCAGGCGTTCCTTGGACACACCACACTGCCATATCTGGTTCTAGCCATGTCTGCCTTTATTCATTTGTATCACATACTCTGTTCCAGAGAGGAAAAAGGCACACAGTTTGTTACAGCCTGTCCTGTAAAGGACACTCAGCAAGATGTGGGTATGTGTGTACCTGGGTATATATGTGCTCTATTTGTCCTCGGCGCGCTTATTCCTCTGTGGTCCTCCCGTTGTATGACTTACTCTACCAAGAATTTTTCTCCTCCCTGTTTCTGAAACCTCTGCATCCTGTAAGGCCTGACTTGACCATCTCAATGACTTATCTTCTGGTTAGCTTTTCATTTGACACAGCCAAATCTTATTCCCCTGTGGAGTACACATTTAATTACATCCTCCAGTGACTGGGTCTGGTTTATCTATCAACTATAGAGCGTGTACACTATAAGACTGGCAACACAGCTCAGGTATAAACAGAAAGTAATTGGTTTGTGCATGCATGTGTGTGTGTGCTTCTGTGTTTTGAGTCATGTTCGTATTTGTAGTTTGTGGACACAGGGGATCTATTGTACACTGCATGTATTTTGGGTAATCATTTTTCCAGCTGACATTTATTCCATAACCTCAACTAAATATCAAGTGTTTGAGTTTATCACAGTGACCTGTGTGTATTTAGTGTATGCATCTGTGGGTGTGCAGTTTATGAGTGTTTATCCTACTCTGTTAATATGCTGATTATGGGCATTTGTGGATCTCTGAGGTGTTTGCATTTTGTGTGAATGAGACACATGAACTGTAGATATCATGTACGATGTGTGCAAAAATTACAGTCTTCAGAACCAGAGACACAGGTCTGGCAGAGGTTTTTACTCCACTTACTTTGACCCACCTCCAATTAAGCCATCCAAACTCCCTGGGCCTCAGCTCCCACATTTATATAAAGGGAGGATATTACCTATCATCCTATAACTATGTACCAACAGGAACTTCATCTTTTAGGATGTTGTGAGTATGATGGATGAGAAGAGTAATTAGTCTGAAGTGCCCAGCATAAAGAGGTACAGTAGGCACTCAATAACTGATTTCCCTTTACTCGTGTGTGTGTGTGTGTGTGTGTGTGTGTGTGTGTGTGTGTGTGTGTGAGATCAGGGAGTATCTTACCTGGATTTCTAAATGCCTCCCATCACTGTGCAGCCCCATTTTTCCACTCCCACCCCAGGGTCCACAACCTGAGCAAATAGAGTCACAGGATGGTGGAAGAAGGACTAGGATTCAAAGCGACTTCGGAGCAACTTGAACTTAGATTTGTTGTACTTAGTGATGAGGTCCAGTTTGCTATGCCCCAAAGTCAGCCGTTTTTCATTCTCAGACAGGTCTTTGCTACCACTATGATGGCCACCACTGGGGCTTCCAGGGAGGACAGGCTCGGGTTCCTTCCTGGCCCCCTGCAGCTGATGGTACTTGGTGATGAGGTCCAGCTTGCTGTGGCCCAGCGTCAGCCGTTTCTCATCCCCAGGGCCTACTCCAGCCATGCGAGCAGTGCTTGGTCTTGGGAGACCACTGGGCCCAGGCCCCTCACTCTTGAATGGGCCAAACTTGGCAATGAGGTCCAGTTGGCTGTGGCCTATTGTCTGTCTTCGCTCGTCTAGACCCTGCTTACCAGGCCTAGATGGGCAGTTGGCTTCAGCAGGCACTCTGGAACTCTTGGCCTTGGGGTCCTGTACCAGGAGGTCCAGCTGGGCATGGCGGTGGTTTGGGGACAGCCTCCTGTCCTCTGGACCTACATCGCCATGTCTGAGGACACCTGACTCAGGGGTAACCCCAGCATCCTGGGTCTGAGGCAGGAGGTCCAGCTGGCTATAGCTCTGGCTCAGGGACAGCCTCCTTTCCTCTGGGGCCTGGTCATCTGGCCGATGGGTGCCTGAGTTAGGGGCAACCCCAGGGTTAGGACCACCCTCTCGGGCTCTAGGGAATGGGGCTAGAAGGTCCAGCTGGCCATAGCTCTGACTCAGAGATGCCTTCTTCTCCTCTGTCATCTCCAAGGCTGTGCCAAGTATCTGGCGACCTCTTGGTGGACTTAGCTCCTGGCTTCCTGGAAGCCCATTCTCTGGGAGCCGGGACAGAACTGGGAATCCCCGGGGAAAGTGGAGGAGAGGGCGGGGCTGGGGGATCAGAGGTGACCCCACTGCCTGAGTCACAGGACTGGGGCTACTGTGGTTGAGGGCAGGGGAAGACTGGGACCATGGGAATGCTCCCAGCTTGCCCAGGTTGGCCCTATAGGGCACATGAGGGGTGCCATGGTTAGGGTCTGACAGCTGTCGATGCAGGGAAGGCTGGCCACCACCTTCATGATGGACAGGGCCTGGGGGTGAGGACCCTATAGCTGTGTCACTACAGCCACCACCTCCTGGTAGAGCGAGGTAGGAAGAGCGGCCCATGAGGGGTGAGCGCTTGATGCTACAGAGACTGGTGCTAGAAGGTGAGGAGCATGCAGGGCTTGTGATGCCAGGCCCAAAGGCCAGGCCCACCGGGGGAGGACGAGGTACCCGGGGAGACAGTGAATCCTCAGTGCCACAAAAGCCTTCCACAGGCTGTGACTCAGCATACAGACAGCGGAACTCCCGGTCAAAGTCTTCCACAATGCGGCCCCTCAGCTGCAGCACCATGCTGGTGTGGGCCTGGCTGCAAAGCCAAGTGAAGCTGGGGGCAGAGGTTCTGGGTCAGGAGTGAAAGATACAGGCCCAGGGACTCAACAGGAATCATAACCAGCAAAGGATGCTGAGAGGTGGACCAAGCCTCCACCCCATGAGGCTCACAGTGTGGGGACAGAGCTCAATCTCCAGTCTGTGCTTGCCCTAGTCCTGCCTAGAGGATTTAGGCATATGACTGCCCTCTTGAGGCCCAAACTGGCCCTCATGTAAAATGGACCAGGAACCAGATTCCTATGGTCCTTCCATTTCCCGTGTGCAGTAGTTACTTTCTATGCCAAGGGCATTCAAGTGATCCTTCCACGAGAGTGGGCTCTTTCTCTGCTGATTTCCTCCCACAGTAGCCAAACCCCTGCAGGGGAACTGGTATATGGCAGGTGCTCAGAATATGTTGGAAGAGATGAATGGATACACAGATGGCAGAAACCGAGATTCCCTTATCAGCCCATGGCACAACCCCAGACTCCTCTCCTGTCACTTGCTCACCTGTAGCTGCCTGCGACCACCTGCTCGCAGTCGATGATGATGAACTTCTCCAGGGCCTGCCCAGTGAAGCGGCGACCTGCCTTGCTGCAGTACGTGTCCCCACATGTGCTCCGCACACGCATGTTCTGGGCCAAGGGTGGAGGAATATTGGGGGGATTGGCCTTAAGAGAGTGGAACTGAAACCATGTCTATACTCTGACCCCAGCTACCAGAACCTGGTTCCCCGTTCCCAAGGACTCCCCCAGTGCTCACTGGCTACCAGATGGCTCTTTTGCCCTGCTGACTTCTCAGCCCTTGTTGCTGCCCTTGGCCCACACTAACCGGCAGGTGACCCCCATTGAGGTCCATCTTGTAGCACATCTCCAGGAAGTGCCTCAGGTGCTCCTCTGCCAGGAGCAGGTAGACAGGGACAGCACGCCTGCTTGAGGTCTCCATGAGGTCACACAGAAGCTCCATGTCGGTGAATACATCCATCACCACAGCCACCACCTGGGGAAGAGGGAAGCTAAGCCTACCTGGGTCACTGTTCACATCCAGACTAACCTGTGTTTCCAAGAAGAGTAGGGGACTGAAAGCCAGGAGGCCAGAGCCTGGGAGAACATTTGAACAGGATGGACTTTTAGTGATGCCTACCTCAGGATTCTTAACCTAAACATGGGGAGATTTGGCTGTTTTTGTGTGCATTGTTCTGTGGACAGAGTATTTATCATACCTGTGTTAGCTGTCTTAGTCCAAAGTCCCACTCTATGTTGAGGCCTGGACCTTCATTCCTAGGCTAGGCCCTGGCCCAGTGACTAGCTATCCGAAGCTCCCCTCTCAAGGGAGGAAATTGAAAGCTAGTTGTTGGATGGTCAGTGCCTTTGCCACGCCTGCTTCAGTTTCCCTACAAAGCTGCAAAAGGCTTGATGTGACACCTTACACTCATGGAACCAAATTTCCTACTCAGTTGCCTGGAGCTTGTGCCTCCCATATAAATTGTTGCCTCAGAGAAGCCCCTGAAATACCAATGGTACGCCCCAGTCCTCCAGCTGCCCCTTCCCACCGCATGTATCTGCTGAGATTGTCTTCTTCAGGGCAGAGGCAAGAGGTAGAAGATACAGAGAGCCCAGCACTGCAGCTCTGGAGCCACACAGACCTAAGTTCAAACCCAGACCCTGCCAGTTCTGAGAAGTAGGGCTCAGGGCAAGTTGCTCACCTCCAGAACCTCAGCTTTCTCATCTGCTAAATGGAGATAATGATAGCTGCATGTCTGAGTTACAGGAAATTAAATGTGAATATGCTAGACAAAACAGAAGCTCAATAAATGTGCCTTTCCTGCTGCCTTCTTAACAAATGAGGACGTTGGCCACAGGGAAGTACTTCCCAAGGTCACTCAAGGAGTTACAGTCCAGCACAAGAACCTGGTTTCTAGCCCAGACCTGGAGGGATCTAAATGGGGGAGAACAGACAAGGTACTGCCAGGTGGGGGTGGGGGGCTAATCCACAGCAGAGGCCTGGCCAGGAGCAAGGGGAACAAGGACAGGCAGGAAAGATCAAAGGCAGATGGTGATGACAACAGAAGCAGCCTCACTAATAACCCTGTTCCTGATGCCAATCGGGCCTGGCTCTCCCCTGCCTGGGGCACAGGCAGACTTGCTGGGAAGGCTAGGGAGGTACTGATAGATCTTGACATCCTCATCTCTGCTGCAAGAGCCTAAACATACCTTAAATCCTTCTGGGAGTCACTGTGTCTATTCCCTTTCTTCTGAGTACGAGCTGGGGGTCCAGGAATGAATCTGCATTGCTGTGTGGTTGGAGTCTCCATGTGTGACCACCCCTATCTGCTCTCCTGATTCTCTTTACCCCAAACCAAGCAACTTCCAGTCCTCCCCATTCCTTGGTGCAGAGCTAAATAAACACCTAGGCCTCAAAACCACTCTTAGGCTCACGAATCAGTGTCCCCCCGCCTTTTTTTAGGCCTAGCAGGAAACAGCACGTCAGGGCAAGGTACAGCTGGGAACAAGAGCCTGAATCAGGGACCCTCTTCTCCTTGACCCTGAAGACTTCTCTGACCAAGTCCCAGCACCTCCTTGGCCTCAGTTTCTTCCTCTAAATCAAAGGGATGGCTCAGATGTTCTCCAAGTTTGGGTTCTTAGTTTGGGGTTCATAAGAGTTTGAGGATCTGGTGAAAGCTATGGACTCCTTTCCAAGAAACATGCATTTTCAGGGGTGTTGTAGAGTCCTAGAAGTCCATGCCCTGTTCTATGCTTTCTATAACATTCTTGATTGCCAAGGGGTTACCAAGGGAAATAAAACAATCTCCATCCTCTTCACAGCTTCCTGTCTCAGAGAAGCCAGAGGTCCTAGTTCCAATTCTGCATCTAAGTTGCTGTGTGACTTGAGCTGCTCCCCCTCCCTCCCTGGATCTCGGTGTATACCTCTGTGAAAGTGAATGTCTGAAGAGATGAAGCCCTTACCTTGCGGGCCTGGCTGAAGAGGAAACGCAGCAAGTCCTTGATGTTCTTGGCCTTGTCCCTCTGGAAGTGGACCACAGCCTGGGTGGGGCTGAAGCCTGTGGCCTGTGGAACCTCAGGCCAGCCCAGGTCCAGGTCTGGAGGGTCTACATCAGAGGCCATGGGGAAGTAGGTGCCTGAGGTGACTTCAGAGAGCAGGCTGAGGCGGTCAGGCCCTGAGGCCTCAGGGCCCTGGGGCTCACTGAGCTCAGGACCCGCTCGCACATGGCTGGTCATGTAGTCCACATCCAGAGCGCTCAGGAAGGGCAGCTCCCGCTCCTCAGAGATGACCTGCAGGTAGGCAGCCTCGCCCCTTTCCAGGAGGGCATCGGTTGCCAGCCTAGCTGCCTCGCTGTGCTGCAGCACCAGAGGTGAGCTCTCCCGCCACCAGGGCCGCTTCAGTTCCTCCACCCGGCCCCGCAGGGGTCCTGCCATTCCCTGAGTCCCTCCAGGCCCTAGGCCTCCAAACATTCCTGGCCACTGGGTGCCTCACCTACCGGCAGGTTCCATTGCCTACACCTGAATTGGCTGCAGCAGGAAGAGGATACTAGCTGCACCGCCTCTCGGCCCTCCCAGTATGAGGCAGGGCCCCCAACTTGTTGCCACCCTAAGTCAGAGCTATGCTCCGCCCCATTGCCCCTGGCCTCTGGAACCTGTCAGGTCAGCCCCACCTGTCTGCCTATGTCAGGACTCGCCTGCCTGGGAAGCGGCAGTGCCAGGCCTTTAGTGCGTGCACACTGCTGCCTCCCTCCCCTTACATTTCAGGAGCGCCACCCCATCCCACCAGGCTCCTAGCAAGTCTCCAACCCTGACCTTCTAGGGACCCATTGAGGTTGGAGACAGGCCGAAGGGGCTGAGCCTGCTCAGGGGCACACACACTCCGTGGTGGTGAATGACTCAGGACACCCAGAGAAAAGACATGGACGCACAAGCAGATACACTTACGGACAGCTGAATGACATGTAGACATGGACCACAGGCTATCATGCCACCACACATATAAAACATTATAGGAATCTTACTTATTTTTAAATTTTATTAATACATGTTTGCAGTACATAATGATTATATTCATCGTGGGGAGGTGGTAATGTACATAACACATTTTAACTCTTTTTACTTCCCCTCTCTTCCTTTTCCCCCTGCCTCCATCTCTTGGTCAGACTACACATTTTCAGTTTTTTTTGGTTTTGTCTTGTTTTTTGAGACAGGATCTCGTTATATAGTTCAGGGTGGCCCTGAACTCATTATGTAACCCGAGCTAGAGTCAAATTCATAGCAGTTCTCCTGTTTCAGCCTCCTGAGTGCTGGGATTACAGGAGTGCACCACTACAGCCAGCCCGAGACAACACATTTTGCTCAAGCCCCACCATGTGAACTGACCCAAAGCACCAATGTAGACACTGGCTATAACCCCAAACATACCACCACGGCTACTGCATGTCTTGGCCCAAATATACACCAGCCGCCAAATAAGAGCGGAATAGAATGTCACGCAAAACTGCCAAGGACATCAACATTGATCTGTCCCCAACCCAGGCCTCTCTCCTTTCAATCCACTCCCCACCATCCCAGTCTTGGAGCTTACAGGCCTCTGCCCCACCCTCATTCAGGCACAGAGCCCATCCATGCTTCACAGATGTGGAATAGGAGCCCTCACCCTGGCCCCAAGAATGGCCTGGAAGTGTTAAAATGCGTGTCCCCCAGATTCCACACACCCCGAGATTCTAAGCCAGACATTGAGGAGGTCAGGCTCAGCGGGGCAGCGGGTGGAGGCCCACCTGTGAGACATGCTATTCCAGAAGCTGTGTTTCCACTACTTAGATTCCAGGGAGACTCTTGGCCCTGGTGGGAGCCAAGAGAGCCTTCCTCTCTCCTCTGTGGCTGGATATTAAATGGTTAGAGTGCCAAAGGTTTCAGACAGGACCCAGTAAGGTGAGAGGCAAACAGGGCAGGCATCTCTGCCCCAACAGAGGCTAAAGTCCCAGCGGTCATGGTCTGTCCTCAGGACAGGGGAGAGGCTTTGTTTTGGAGAAGGGGTCAGCAGGTGGCAGCCGCAGAGGGGGCCCAGGCCAAGCACAAGTGCTCATGGCCTTTCTGCAGGAGAGATGAGGCTTGATGAGGGTGGTAGAGAGCAGAGACTTTAAAACCAGGCCTGGAACCATGTTCAGTACTGACTCCGATGGTGGCTTATCTAGTCTGTGATGGTGTCCACAACACAACTTTGTCATGGTGGGGGGCTTAGAGGGGAGGGGCCCCAGAGGACATTGGGGAGCAATAGGCCAGGAGCAGAAAGTCTGCCAGTCCAGCCCAGCCCAAGTGCAGGGGTAGAAACTGGAGACCAGGCCTTCACAGGAGGCCCTTCCCTGGGGGTGGAGAGGCTGCATGAGTAGCAGGGAGTTGGGTGAACAAAGCCAGGCTGTGGGAGGAGATGAGCTGTGGAGGCAGCAGAGGTGGCAGAGCCCTATTTGGCCGTATCTCCAGATGTGCTTTGAGGGGAGAAGGGAGAACCAGGACCTTATCTGGGTTGGTCAAGTGCTCCCAAGAGGGAGGAAGGCACGTTTGTGTGTACCTGTGAATTGTGTTTCTTTCTAGGGTATATATTTCTATCTCATGGTGCATATTTTTTGGCTCTGTATCTTGTTCATTGTAATAATGGTGAAACGCACATAAAATGTACCGTTTTAACCATTTTTAGGTGTGCTTCAGTGTCATTAAGCACACTCACACTGTTGTGCCGCCCTCATCACCGTTCACTTCTGGGACTCTTCCTCCTGTAAGGCTGAAACTCTACACCCATGAAACAACTCATCATTTCTCCCTCCCTGCCCTGCACCCTGGCAGCCAACACTCCACTTCCTGTCTCTACGAATTTGCTTACTCCAGGAGTCCCGCCAGGGGAATCATACAGCACTTTTCTTTTTGTGACTGGCTTATTTCACTTAGCAGAACATCCTCAAGTTCCCTCCGTGGTGCAGCGTGTTCCGTGGCTACTACTCCACTGTGTTTGGGTACAGTTTGTGTGTAGTACTGGGGCTCTGACGCGGTCTGACAAACTTTCTACCACTGAGCTGTCCCCAGCCCTGTGCATCCTGCACATCGCATATCCCTTCACCCCTTTACGGACCCCGAGCTGCTTCCATTCACCTTGTGGCTGCTGTAAACAATGCTATTGAACGTGGATGTGCAAATTTGGTTCTGTATTTTTTTTTCTTCTTTGGTTCTCTGTTTTTGTGTACTTCCCTCCATACTAAATTCCATTTTTCTATGTTAAGTAAAAAAAATTCCAAGCCAGACATGGTGGCGCACGCCTGTAATCCCAGCACTCAGAGGCTGAGTCAGGAGGATTGCTGCGGGTTTGAGGCCAGCCCGGGCTACATAGTGAGACCCTGTTTCAAAAAACAAATCTTGATATTTTTCAGCAGCCGGGCATGTTGGTGCAAGCCTGTAAGGCCAGCACTTAGAAGGCTGAGGCAGGAGGACTCCTGCAAGTTTGAGGCTAGCCTGGGCTACAGTTATTTCAAGCTGAGGTCAGCCTGAACTACATAGTGAGACACTGTCTCAAAAAAACAAAAAAATTCTGTTTTTGTTAGTAAAAAAAAAAAAAGTCACCAAATACTGGTATTTTCTTATGGTTTAACTAAATATGTATGCATCTACATATAACGATCTGTGCATGTACCTATAAGTATGTACTACCTGTGCTTTTGTGTGCCTGCTGGCTGTCTTTAATATCTGGCCACATGCCAGATTTACGTGTGTGTGCACGCGTGCATGCAGTACTATTTGTGTGCTAAGTGTGGGCAGTGGGGTATCCTTGACTCAAAGCCTGGACTTTGGTACTGGGTGTCCATACAGGAAGCTGAAATGAAAGAGGCAGCGGTGGGAGGACTGAGTTGAAGAGACAGGTCCCAGGAATCCCTGACATCCTGGTGATAAGAGCATGGACATCAAATCCAGCCCTGCTCCCTGTGGGTTGGGTGAGTAAAGGGTCAGAAGAGGGTAGACAGGTGGATCCTGGCCTTGGGGTGCTGGCCCAGGGTGATGGAAGCTACACAGACAGACCCAAGCCCAGCCCCTGGCTGCAGTGTGTGGTGCACAGGCCCCTTAATGACTGTTATTAAGAGGAAGGAAAATATTTTCCTGTTCGGGAGCTGTGTCAGGCGCCTGTCTGTCATTGCTCAGCCTTCCTGGGGGCCACTTAGCCTTGTCTGTTGTCTCTCTCAGCCAAGTGGCGCCTGGGCAGTTGACTCCTGTCGGGGAGGAGGGGGGCAGAGGCTGGCTGTGGCGTCCAGAGGCAGGCTGCTCTGATGCCAGCACTGCCACACACCTTCACTGTGGCACCTCTGGGTCAGGGAGACGAGAGTCCTAGCAGGACAGCCAGAGTGTGCCCAAATACCTTGAACCAAGGCCACCTAGGAGCTGGAAAGACAAGGGAATAAGTGGTAGGAGTCCCAGAGGCTGGCTTGAGCTGAGTCGTAAAGCTGAGGAAAGTTCCAGCCGGTGCCAACTGATAAGTAGGGTGTCGGCTGGAGAAGGAGAGCCAGGATGCCCTGGAAGGTGCAGGGAAAGGTGCTGATGGAAAGCCACTGTAGCGACATTCTGAGGAGCCCTGGGGGCCTTCTTAAAGATGAGTGCATGGAGGTTGGGAAGATTCCAGAACAGTATTTTAGGGTAAATTTAAGAAGCAGCCCTTGGGGAGATTGGCCCAAAGTACTGGGAGCAACCCATACCGCAACTCACTGTCCCCTGAGCACCACATATATCCTCAGGAGGCCACTACTATATTCTGAGCTATTCTGACTTTCCAAAGTCTGGGCCCACCCAGGGCTGTGGTTGTGCCACTGGACTGAGACCCACTGGTTGGAGCAATGGTGAGCTGAAATTCGGAGTCATAGGAACTTAGTCTATAAAATGGGGCCAGAAGCACCTCCTTGACCAGGCTGTTGTGAGAAATGAATGCACTAATCTGCATCAGGGGCTTGACTGAGGGCAAAGTAGCTCAGTTCGTGCTGAATTGCAGAGCTTTTCAGACCTGAATGGGCAAGGGGTCAGTGAAGGCCTGAATACAGGCGAAGCAGTAACCCCAAGAGCTCCTGCTCAGTCCCTTGCTCCTTCTAGACCAGAGTTGGCCCTGAAGGCCCCCTCCCGCCCTCCCGCCTTCCCTTCCAAATGCGAAGATAGCACATTCTCCATCCACATCTACATAGTAAACTTCAGTAAGGCCTCTCCATTCATAAAGGAGAAGTCTGCCCTTGTCAGTAATGTTGGCAAAGACATCATATTTATTGTTTTGTTGTGGTGGTGCTAGGGATTGTACCCAGGGTTTTGTGCATGCTGAGCAAGCACGCTACCATGAGCTGTGTCCCCAGCCCAAAGCCACTGGCTTTGATGTCCATCTGTCTCGTGTCATCTCTGTCTGTTCTCTACTTGAGAGGGGCACAGAAGAGATATTATCCACTGACCCCTTAAGCCCTCACTATTTTTGTAGCTACTTCTCCTTGCCCATCCTGTTCCCACTCCATCTGACCATACAATCCACCCGAAATAGACTTGTTGCCTGCTTTACACCAGCCCTCGGAGCTTAAAGATGAGTAAGAGTTCATTTCTGCCCTGGAGGAACTCAGTTTAGTGGCAAAGGCAGACTCATAAATAATTACAAGCCACAAAATAAAAGCCGAAGTATAAACTAAGTGTTTGGAGTATAAAAGCTCATGACCCATTCTAGAAACTTAGAGGGACCATGTCCCCACCCCCCAATCCCTCATCTGTCTCAGATGGGGGCTCGAGAGGTGAAAGAGTTTTTCTGGATGCAGGGAGAAGGAAAAAACAGAAAAAGGAGCAGGTTAACTGACAGGCCAGGACTCTGAAACCGGGAGTGGGGCCTCTCAGGGCTCAGCTTGCTACCTGTCTAAGGGTGACTGGGCAGGAGGTTTCCAAATGCCTTTTGGCACTGACACTGTAGTCTGTCGCTGCTGATATAACAGGTTGCTGCTTGGATGCTCCATCCCTGGAGACTCCTCTGCCAGGATCTCCAGCTTCTTTTCTCTCCACAGAGGGAAGGTGGGGGGGCTC